ATAAATTCTAAATATTCATCTTGACAGTAACTATTTAAAGCTAAATATTAACTTTAGCTGGCTCGCTAAATGTTTAGTAAGCAAAAAAACATGTTTTGTAAGCAAAAATTAATATTTGGATCCAAAATAAATAGTCAGCAAACTTGCTGATCAAATATTTAGTTTTTGCTTGCTAGCTAAATATTTATTCAGGTTATGAACTGGATATTTAGCTTGCTAATTAATTAGCCGCGTAGTTTGAAACATTTTCTACATGAATAAATAAAATGGAGAAAATATGACTTTGAGAAATTAATCTATATTTTTCTGACCCAAATTATTGCTGTTCATGTTTGAATTTTACTTTACGAATGCGCCCTGAATATTTTCACCTCAGGAAAACATGAAGCTAAAAAGTTCATATCGGTTCCAAGAAAACAATAAAAACCTTCATCGACTCAAAGCAGCTTCAGTCTCAGTGTTTTGGTCACTAATAATTGAATCTTATGTTACATTTCTCTATATTTTCTTAATGTGAGTATCCCGCTGGATTCAAATAGATTGTTTTATAGATGCTACCTTTGCTGCAGTTACGCAGATAACTGATAACTTCTTGTCTTCATCAGGAGTTATCGCCTCAATCAAATTACAGTGAATAACTCATTTAAATTGTGCATAACAGCAAAGTTCATTCATTCATTAATGTTACGATCACACTAATAACTGTTTAATGGGGTCAGAGGTCAGCCTGGTCATGATGGAGGCTCACTGCAGGATTTTATAAAGTTACTGAACTAATGGAGAATATTAATGCTCCACCATGACGGCTGCTTGAAGAACTGATAAAATCTGAGTTTCTGTTTATGGATGCATTTTCCTGCTTCTGTAGGATTTCATTATCAACAAGGCAACTTTTAAAAATGACTGTCTCTGAGGGGGCGATATGATTTGCTACCCAATCTCTCTGCTGCCGGGTCTTGGCAGCATGACTGAGCGTCTGGCTGCAGCTCGGAGCAGCAGAGCAGTCCGAGCTGCAGGAGTGTGTGGCGTTAGCGTTGTGTTAGTGTAGCATTAGTCTAGCATTAGCATTGTGTTAGCATAGCGTCGTGTTAGCATTACTCTGTGTGATTCACATCCACACCTGAGTCTCAGGCTGTAACAAAGATCAGATTATTGGTTTGCGTTCATCATGTCATCTTGATGAGCGGCTGAATCCTGGAGACCAAACAGAATCATTCATCATAGATCCGCTTTTAGGAAAGGAGCTGCGAATAAAATCATGTTCTAGTTTAGAGTTTCTGTATCTGCTTTATGATGTTACTCTAATTAATCAAACATAATGCAGTAAAAGTTTATTTAAATGTCAAAATATTTGCTGAGGCTCACAGTAGAAGGGATTTTATTTCAGAATGTAAAGGAGGAAATGAGAGGCAGAAAAGCAGCAGAT